ACAGGCCCGAAAGTTTAGGGTTTCCCTCACCAACGCTGACTCGACGAGTCGCAACACAGACTCGTCGAGTAAGCTCATTAATCCTCGTCACCAACGCGACCCTACTCGACGAGTTGAGGCACCAACTCGTCGAGTTGCCCATGAAACTCATTATTACCCTAGAAATGTTATACCCCGGAACCAGGATGTTATAGTTTTAACATTGAGAGGGATAAGCGGGTGACGCTTAGTGAGTTCAATAACAGTTACAATATAACATTATGCCATATACATATCAATATGACAAAAGCAACGAGGGACAAGGAACAAGAAAGGCAAATGAGTATCATATGACAGGCTTTCCATATCAACGAATAATCAGATTCAAAGATTTGTAATCAATGAGACATAACAATTTCAATACTTGATATACATCAATAAGACTTCAGCTCAAGTGGCGCAGAAAATTACAATTTCAGAATATCATTTTCCTAGAATACACAGACTTTCATCCCTGTCTTTGTATTCTGCTAATGCCAAAGTGATGCTTATGTCATACACTTCATGGCCAAAGGCTATATACCCGTACCCAAGTGATGCTTATATCATACACTTCGTGGTCAAAGGAATAGCTCATTATCATAATAACATTGGAAAGCACATTGAACATATAACACATAACATACAATTGTCCCTATATTGAACTCACCGTGTAATAACCGGGGATTAAATGATAATTTGGGCAGCACTTCGGCTCTAAATATGACTTTTTGTGACGAAACTGGGGATTTTAGTTGAAAACCGGCCTTACTCAGGCAGAGTTTCAACTAGAAAATATGATTTTCTCGGGAACTTCGGAGTTTCGGGACTTGCTTCGGGTGTCGGGAATGATATCGGGACTTCGGGGGTGTTAGAGGGGCTTGAGAGAGACTAAAGAGTGAAAGAGAGTGAGAATTTGTAACATAAAACCGTAGACCCTCGGTCTCTATTTATAGGGGACCGAAGCTGCTGACTACGCTGAGCGTAAGTCCTCTGTACGCTGGGCGTACTGCCAGGCGGCCATCTACGCGGGGCGTAGCCCTCGTACGCGGCGCATACATGCGATGAGTTATCTGATCGAAACTCGGGCTCGGACATGGCTGATACGTGGCTCGCATGTGAAGACCGGCGATGTGGCTGACTTCGGGTCGCATACGTGCGAAGTACGCTGGGCGTACGAAACGAAGTATGATGGGCGTACCCTTCGGATAATTCTCCAATTTTCATTTATTTTTATTTAAAAAATTAAAAAATTCATATCTTTTGCATACGAGTTCCGTTTTTGACAATCTTTATATCCACGCGTAGGTGAGATTATATTCTACAACTTTTGTTTAGACTCCGTCGGCTAATTTTGACTTTATTTTTAAAGTTATATTTTTAACGGGACGGGACAGAAAAAGTCCGTTAAAAATTCATAACTTCTTCATCTGACATCCGTTTTCGTCAGTCTTTTTACCGTTGTGCTACTATTAACGAGATCTTCGATTCTCGTTTAAGTCGTATCGGCTAAAAATCACTCGATCTTTATTTCGAGTTTTTAGATGTCTACTTCTATTCCGAAACTTAGAAAAATCATAACTTCCTCATACGAAATCAGATTTTGACGTTCTTTTTATGAAAATTCTCGGTTTAACGAATACTACGATTTTCATTTAGATCACTAGGGATAAAAATTAGTTTATCAAAAACTCACTTTTTACGTCTTATGGCGTCGTGCCGGTTCTGTCGCGAAACTTCAAATAGTCATAACTTCTTCGTTATAACTCGGATTTCGATGAGGTTTTCGCCTAAATGTTTCTAACGAGATTCTTTACAACTTTCAATAATATAATTTTTTTTACTTATTTTAAATTTTATATTTTCGTTAATTTCAATATTTGACTTTTGATTGGAATCTCATAAGACTTCCAATATTTTCCGAGTGATTCTAATCATAGTTTTACTTCAATTCTAGTAAAAACCATCTGTTAGAACTCAACGCTCAAAATTACATAATATTTCATAATGTTATTCACATTTAAATTACAAAACACGATAATTAAACGTGTATGTTACATATGGATTAGGGTCTTGGGAAAACTCTAATTTTGAAATAATGTTTTGGAAACAATGACTCTTTTGTAAATAATGATGTTAAATGGTTGATTTTTAATATTTTAAATTTCTTGATATTTTCGGAATGTTACATGCTTAGTTGAATCTTTTGTTATTTTAGGCTAGCAATGGTATTGTCATCACTTTACTAAAATGATGCAACGAGATGATTATGCTGATAATCAGATTTGTAGACAGGTAAGAAGTTCATTAGAAAACTGTTTATTGATATTAATATATAATTACCTACGTGATTTAACTTTTCATTATCTAATATGGAATTTTCAAATCGATATAGTAATAATTTTCAAAACATGCAATCCAAAAGCAACCGAAGAAAAAATAATTTTGCTTATGCATTTGTTAATGGTTTGTTTTCTATCTTGATATAATTTATTTTAGTCTTGTGTGTTTGGTCATATAATTTGTTGTGATTATTGCAGTTTATGTGTTCCCTAATTTACAAATTGTGCACTTGTCTTTTAATTTTTTAGTAATGTTTGTTTATAACTTTTATGTAATTTTAGAAGTTCTAATACATATTTTGGCAAGTTTTACATGGCTTTTAAACATATTGGTTTTATAGTATTTCAACAAGGTTTGAGGTGTTTACTATTGCAATCATACAATTCTAGCTAAGTTTTACGGAACGTCATTTGGTATGAGCTAACTTATAAGCTAGTAGATGCTTTTCAGTTAACATATAACTTCTCATCTGTTAGTTAGAATACATGAAAGTTTATAGCGCCAAGAAAGTAACAAGCTAGATATCATCGATTTGTCACATCATAAAGAAGTTGTTGGGTTTGATAGTCCTTCATAAAAAACCAAATTCATCAAATTATATCTAACATATATTAGAACGAGTAAATTGACAGAAATATATAAGATTTTTTATAATATTAGGTGTGATAAGAACATGGTGACGGTGGAGAGGGCGATACAAGTTTGGCAGGTGCCTGTCTGTTAAAGTAACCGACTGGTATTAAGGAGCCATTTCCGATAAGGAGATAATTTAAAATACTATTTCTGACCAGGTGTTCTTAGTATTTTTGCATTTGCATGAAGGTGGGAGGTGGCTCCTTATCCATATACCACTTATTGTCTACATGGTCATTTAGTTTCATCACATATAAAAATGAGGACGAACTATTGCTTGATTAGAAGTGTTAGGACTCCATGAAGGAGTTTAAGGTTGTTGGGCTATGTAATGGGCATGTTGTGGTGATGATGTAGGTATTGCTCAAAGTGAAAAAGGGATATGACGTGGACGTAATGGTTGTTGGGCCATTTGGATCCATTGTTGATGATGAACCAACAATGTTGAAGTCCGGTTTAAAGGATAAAGAGCTCACTAGTTCGACTTCAAATAAGTCATTAGAGTTGTTGTTGTTGTAAGGAGAAAACAGGATGCAATATTTGGTATTGAGGTTGTTGTTGGTATCGACCACCCCTTGATGGTTCTTGTTTCTTGGATTTTACACTATAAAAAGAGTCTATGGTAATCATGGTAAGTGATGAAGAGGCCTAACGTGGGCATTGTTTTTTAGATTTACCTATTTTTTGTTCCTTAAGAATAAGTATGGATCGCGCCTACTAGAAAAGTCGGTGGAAGAATGTGATATACTTGTATTTTGAAGAGAGGTCGTCAATCATACATATAACAATATTTTTTTCTAGCGTTGTTGCATCAATATTGGAGGAGATCGGTGATTGATTTTTTACGAGGGCAATAACCATGATTGAGGAGTCCTAGACGTCGATGTTGCATAGTTCATTGTCAAGTTGGATGATCTTGGTGTCTTAGTTGTCACAAAATAACTTTTTCTAGGTTGATCCAAATGTATCGAGTCGTGGCGTTGAGTTTGAGTATCACCTGAAGTAGTGGTTCTAAAAGGATGTCATAGATCCAAAGTTTTATGATGGAATTGATTTTCTTCCATTAGGGTCCATTGTGAATGTGCATAAGGAGTATCACACGATTTGTAAGTGTGATCATGAACACAAATACGGTACATAATGTCTAAAAAATTAGTTCTCTTCAAGAATTATAGTTGAGCTATTTAAGATCAAGAACAAGAGGGGCATACATAATTCTTGATGTTGGTTATGTCATTGGATTTGTTGAGGAGAAGTATTTCTTTGTCATTTGTGTTGCTAGCCATGGAGAAAGAGGAGAGAGGAGAACTAGCAATAAGTAGGTCAACAAGAATATGAAGAAGATACAGTGTAACACAATGATTTTCGTATGAAAATATATCTTCACACTAGGAACAACATATGTATACTTGTAAAATAGGGCTTCATCAATACAAATACGAACAAGGCCATTATTAGGGAGAAATATATATAATACTAACAATTTCCGATTTACGACATCAACACACTCTCTTGGTCGTTGGTGTTCCACGCTTAACTATAACGTGATGGTCTTAGGGTGACCGTGATCTCAGGTAATTATGAAATATAATTTACCCTTTTTCACATTCCCCCTCCCCCGGGTGTTTCCAACTACAACCACAGCCTAGCTTCGCCGTTGACTTGTTCCCATCTCAACGACTAGATTCATCATAGTGTTTGTGTTTAATATTTCCTCCGAATTCCTTTATAGATCTTAAAATACTTTAAAAAACTAAAAGTAATCTTATAAATCAGCAATAAAACAAAAAAAAAAATATTTAAGAAAAATAAAATAAATATAAATTTATCGTCTATATAATTAAACAGATTTCCGAACCTTAAAAAGTTTTATACAATTTCATTTTATTTCTTACTTATGAAACGCATAACATAATTTTTTCTTTTTCAGTTTCATATATTCTAGACTTGCTATCCATATTGACCATATTCAACGAGAAAGTCAACATTTGGGCTTTGTTCGGAGAATGCATTCCACGCTCCAGCAAACGCGTGTGGAAGGCATTTCATTGAGATTAAAACCTCTCTCTACACGAATTAGGCCTCTCCTCTCCAACTGCGCGCATTACGCACCCTTTTCTCTCCTTTATTTGTGGATTGAGGTTTAAATCGGTATGAATTTACGTTTATACCCTCCAACCTAATATATATTCTACAAAATAGTATTTTATTTCTTATATTTCTGGTAATAACAAAAATAAAATAAAATTACCAAACCTAGAACACACAAACACACAAATCGGTGATCCGATCATTAAACAAAGATCAATTCACCCCCAAAACAGGTTGTAACTGCCACACGGTTTTGAAGAAAAGGTTAGAAATTCGTTGTTTTTGTTGTTTCAATTGTTTCCCTAATTTTGTTTCAATTTTACTGCTCTGTTGATTCCGTTATTTTCGTAATGATCTTTCCAATTTGTTTTCATGTAGTATACTGCATTAATCTTAATCCTTCAAAATTTTGAATTATCCAGATTATCGTTTCTCGTTAAGCTTAGATTTTGGAGAATTAAAAAATAAAGTAACTTTTTCAATTCAAATTTAAATACGCTTTTGATTTGATTGTAATTTTTGTCCTGAGATGATTGTTCTTTACTTTATTTTGTTTCCAAACACTAGTCATAATCATGTTATCATCATTAAAATTAAAATTAAACATGTCTCGCTTTTGTTGATTTTAAATTCCGAAGATCTGTTACGATGATTGAGCATATGTTGATAAACTATGGATGTGATGTTGCCTAATTTTGTAGGTGTGGCAGGTTTCGGGTGATTTGTTCATAACTTCTAACCTAGCATGAAGTTCCAAAAGGGGAGCAAAGTGGAGGTTATGAACAAGACGGAGCTGCCTACATCTTGGTGTGTTGCTGAAATTGTTTCTGGGAATCGGCATACTTATAATCTGAGATATGATTGTTACCCGGGTGTTGAAAAGGTGTCTAGGGAGTTTATTAGGCCTTGTCCCCCTCTTTCAAAAGATTTTCAGAGTTGGATAGCTGGTGATATTGTGGAAGTGTTTGATGATAATGATAATTCATGGAAAACTGCAACTGTTTGTAAAGTTACTGATCAAGGTCACTTTTCTGTAAGGCCTCATGGTTTCACCCATGTAAGAAATGTCCCAAAATCGGAAATCAGGACACGACAATCCTGGCAAGATGGTCACTGGGTTCCAATTGTAAAGGTACTTCCTTTTTTTTTTTTTTTTTTTTTTTTTTTTAATCTTTGCTTATAATGGAAATAGTACATAAAAGTAATTGTTATTGGATTATAAAGATTTCAGGAAGCTATGGAGACGTGAATGCAAAAAATTGTCAAGAAAACGACAATGAAGTTGGATTCCAGGAGTCTCGTGTGGTATCTTCCAAAACCCTAAAAAGAGCTTCCCCCTTTTGCTCTTCTCCTGGAAATGCCAAGAAATTGAAAGAAAACAGAAGAAGACTAATTCCAAACAAATCATTGGAAAAGGTAGATGCTTTTGGCTTTGCTTGCCCAAATGACAAAAAATTAAACGGTTTTTATGAACCGGAGAAAGAAAAATTAAACGGTTTTGATGGTTGTTCTCTTTCAAGAATACCGGAGCCTGATAATACTACTGATACTGATAATGATACTGATAATGACGAATGCTCTGTTGGTAGTTGTAGCATTTCTAGTTATGGTCAAAATAAGTCAACTAGTCCTTGTAAAGAAACCGATAATATTCTTTCAAGTGATGCTGAATCTTTCAATACTTCAACACCAATTCCTGAAAAAAGTTGGGCAGAAAGTATTCATTGGTTAGAGTTACACGGATATCGGTCAACTTTAGAGGCGTTATATGCTTCTGGACCTTTAAGTTGGGAAAAAGAAGCATTATTGACCAATCTTCGGATTAATCTTCATATCTCAAATGATGAACATTTGACAGAGTTAAGGCATTTAATTTCTTCGGGAGCTGGTTTTCTTGATTACCAGTGAATAAATAAACATGTTTCTTTCTTTCTTTCTTTTTTCCTTTTTCCCACATTGTAAGAAGTGACACAAGTTATATATATACATAGGGTAGCTTCTTCTGTTGAATCTATACAATTGTCTAGACAATTGGATTTTGTAATTAGTGACCTAATGTAACAAACTTCTACGATGAAACGAAATGTATCCACCTGCATATTTTTTTTTTCTTCATGATTCTGTTCTTTCTACTTTTTTTTTTTAAATAAACGTTTGTTACCCAAGATATTCTAATCTTGTTTTATAACTTGTTTTATAGCACAGTTGGTTCTAGGGTGGTATCTTTGCAAAAGCTCAGCAATTGCAGCCTGCAGTGTGGGAGTTTCAATTCCAATCTGGATTGGGCTTCTTGTGGGCATTGGGCTTTTATGTCTGCCACCTTGTGGGCCACTGTGTACTTGATTTCTGATTTACATCTCACAGTGTGGGCCAACTGATAGTTTGTTGGAAGAGTAACCTTTTTTTTTTTGCAGATATACATGCAGGTTTTAAACAACATTGGAAGATTACAATTTTCAACTTCCTTAGCGGGATATTCTCAACAACCATTTTTCTATAGATAAACTATTTTTTGACATTTACCGGTCAGAATATATAGTTTTAATGTATTTATTTGAATCTTTTGTTATTTCAGGCTAGCATTGATATTGTCATCACTTTGCTAAAGGATGCAACGAGATGATTATGTTGATAATCAGATTTGGAGACAGGTAAGAAGTTCATTAGAAAACTGTTTATTGATATTAATATATAATTACCTACCTGATTTCACTTTTCATTATCTGATATGGAATTTTCAAATCATATATAGTAATAATTTTCAAAACATGCAATTAAGCAACCGAAGAAAAAATAATTTTGCTTATGCATTTGTTAATGGTTTGTTTGCTATCTTGATATAATTTATTTTAGTCTTGTGTGTTTGGCGTGCCATAGGCGTCCACAGCTAGCTGGTAAAGTATTTTTCGAGTTTTTTTTTTCTTTTTAAAGTTGTTAAGTTTAGCAAGACTAAAAATAGTGTATAAGCCAACTTTTTAAAAAGCTTCTTAGACAAGTTTTTCATGAGATTATTTATTTATTTATTTATTTTCCTTATTTAATTATGAAAACTATATTCTTCAAAATGTTGTTTTATGTCATTTTATATCTTCTATCTAAATTATCAACTAATTTTACTGAGTGTCATTTGTTATGAGCTAACTTATAAGCTAGTAGCTGCTTTTCAGCTAACATCTAGCTTTTCAACTATTAGCTAGTTTTTCAGCTAGTAAACAAAATATAACCTTAGATGCATTAACCAGAGAGTAAATGGTAGATCCAAGATATCCAACCAAAGTATATGTCACGATCTCTATTTAAAGCAACTTTTCTTGTTTTTGGATGTTAATTGTTGTAAAAAAAACTTTATTCGGCAATGATCGGTGATGATGAAGATTTTAAATTCTTAGAATTTTGTAAACGATTTTTAGAAGCAAAAAATGAATAGTTGTGTAAAATTGTTAGAATGAAAGGATATTATAGGAGGTTAAAATAATTTTTCTTTTGATTTCTTAATTTTTACTTTTCAATGGTCTAGTTTGAGGGAGTGAGTTAGAATGGAAAACGACTCCTTCACCACGGTGGCAACACCTGCAAACGCTGTTGCTTTAGGCGACACATTGTTCCTAGTGTTGCAATGAGTACACATTATCAACCCGTAGGTAACATTGCTTGTATAATAGATGATCAAACAAGTTCTTTTCAAGAGATACACCATTTTAGAAACTTTTTTTTTCATGTTAAATGCGTCATACAATAACAATATTAATTAGGTCAATTTCGATCTTAGCCGATTTGGTTTTCATTAGTCATGATAACAACATACTTTCATTTCCGTCCATGTTAAGCCTTATATTTTCTTTGTTGTACTTGATTAGCTTTATACTGTAAATTGTGATATTTTATTACAATTTTATGATCAATTAAGTGTAATGGCTTTATCTTAAGCAAACATTGATAAATATTCATTCATGTTGCTATTTTTTCATAGAAAATTACCTTAAGGGAGGAAGGAGTCGTAGGGGGTTAGAGGAGGAGAGGGATGAGCGGAAGGAGAGTAAGTGAGAAAGAGAGGGGTGTTGCAGTTTGAGGAACTCGTTGGAGGTTGAAATCAAAGAAGAAATTTGGGGAAGATGTGTTCCGAGGCATCCGACTTAGACGGGTTGGACTACTTTCACCTTGGGTTTGACGGCTTCGACGGGAAGAGAGAAACAATTTCATCCTCCCTAATTAAAATTTGGGTTGGTTTAAAATATGTTGCTACATGTAGATTTGGTCTTTTACATGCAAATAGTACCAAACCTTTTAGGATATGGATGACCACACCAATAAATCACACAAGAGGAGTTAGATGTTGAAAAAGATAAGTATAGAAATAGGAAGAGTTGGTAATTAATCACAATATGGGAGTTGGATGTTGATAAAGATTAACATGCTAGTAGGAAGAGTTTGCAAGGCTTTGTGCTAAATAAGGTTAGATAGAGGAAAGACATCAATGAATGAAACTCTATTAGGAAATCCCTTTACATGTTCTTTTGGTTTGTTAACATGTTGTAGCATTCTATGATTTCTTTTGGATTAGTTTTGGAATAAATTTGTTCTTATAGAGTATTTCTTATATTGTATAGGAACGTGTTTTCTTCTTTTATTTACCCTTACCATATACCTAATTTATAATCGTAAATAAGAAAATAAATAATAAGATGTCATATGGGAACAAATATTTTCTTTATGAAAAACTTAGTCAATCATAAAATTTGACCAACCATTGTTTATTGTAGTTAAATTGCATCTACATCGGCTCTTATATTTTACACATACTTATCACAGATGATACATATTTGATTGGTGTGTAGATGATGTTGGGATCTATCGACATCTCTATAGTTGGTAGAGGAACGTTAGAGGGCTTAGAAACTTGGTTGTGTATGTTTTATGATCTTGTCTAATTTATCATGTTTAAAGAATATATGAAAGTCGACTAAAAGATCTTGTTGTCGGGTATGTTTTTGCAGATGCAACGTCTTTGGTCTTTCCGTTTTTGCAGATGCAACGTCTTTGGTATTTCCATCTCTGGAGTGGAAGGTCCTTCATCCGTGCATCCCCCCCCCCCCCAAGTGGTCTCTGGTAATGCTTGAACAATCATTTCATCAATTCAGTTTTCTTTACGGTGAAGATGTAATAGTCTTGCTTCATGCAGGACCTTTTCTTGTACACCCCAACCATGGTAATTCTCATAAGTGATGAGACATCTCTACTGGGATGCGCATGAAACTTGTAAAACTTGTGGGATTAGTGGATCGAACATGGGATAACACTGTGCATTTAACAAAGTTAGTAGATCCAATGTTATGACTCGATGATAAGAGGGGTTGTGCTTTTCTTAGGACAAGAATGCACCATATTTTTCTCTTGAAGGCCCTATAAGAGGAGGCTTTATATGTATTTTGTCTTTTTCTTTGACTGCGGCTCCAAGTTTTTTAGGGATTTCTATAGGATTTTTGAGGAAGAATTTATGAATATGGATGAGATCGGAAGACTTGGATTCTATGTACCTTTGGAGACCGTGATGTAGAAACAGATCTTAGAGGTGAATGATTAGAGATATAATTCTCCTATTGATCAAGATAATGCTTCTTTGGTGGGAGAATATTCCCTTTGTGAGAGAATTCTCCCATGGTGATAGAATTCTCCCTTAATCTAGAGAATGCCCTCCTTGGAGAAATAATGTTAAATCCTTAGCTAAGTGACTCGACACTTGGAGAATGCGCTCCTAACATGGAGAATGCACTCTTAATGTGGATAATGCACTTATGGTATGTCAAATGTGCTTAGGTGCATGGAATATTTATCCCTCAAGGTTGAAGATTCTAAAACTTAGGTGCATGGAAGGTTTATCCCTCAAGGTTGAAGATTCTAAAGTAGCTGTATGGCATACTGATTGTCTGATTTCATTTAGGGCCTAATTATGGATATGTATGACCCATTAGAATTAGAGCATCCTTATGTTTGTCTATAAATAGAGACTCCAATTTCCTTCAACATTTGCGATTATGTGAGTGCATAATGTGTGTGTGCATATATTAGCAAGAGAGATTCCTTTTGTTTGAGTGCTCAAGTGAGGTGCAACCTTTTGTATGTGATTGTAATTGTTCCTCGAATATTATTAAAATTCACACACATACACACACACACACACTCTCTCTCTCTCTCTCTCTCTCTCTCTCTCTCTCTCTCTCTCTCTCTCTCCTCTCTCTCTAATCTCTCTCGGTCTCTACTCTCTCTCTCTCTCTCTCTCTCTCTCTCTCTCTCTCTGTGTGTGTTGTAGGTCACATCGATCAAACCACATTAAATATTATGTTCAATTTTAATTGTTTTCAATTATTGTTTTTCAGAAGTTTATTCTGTGTGTTTTGCAAAATTTGTTTATCGAGTATTTGAAGTTGCTTAACTTGTTTTGTTGAATCCCAAAAAATCGGTCTCAGAGCTATGGTTAAAGATGGCAAAGTTAAGATCGACAAATTCGAAGGTCATAATTTCGAATTCTGGATAATGAAAATCAAAGACTCTATACCAAAAGAAATTACATGAACCACTGTCTAGATGGAAACCTGAAGCGATGAAGCAAGAGCAGTGAGACTTATTAGATTGGTAGAAACTTAGAGTGATAAGGTTATCCTCGGCCTTAGAATAAAGAAAACCAAAATGGTTGGTTTTGGTACTTTAGTCCAACAGAATATGGAGTCTTTTACTCTTTCATGCATAAGATGTCTTGGCAAGTGAGAGTTTCAACAACATCATTTGATGAAGATTTTTGGTCCCTAATGTCCCCAAGGAATAAACTTGATATTTCACGTATGACTCAAATGAAATATCTAATATTTATGACATGGTTTATGCACCCATGTATTTGTGTGATGGTTGTATGCTGTTATTTTTTGTTTGTATAGATGAAAATAGGATTTTGCATAATAGACAACCAAGTAATAAAACATAAATCATCATGGAGTTTGTTGTTTTCAAAAATGATATATTTTTTAAACATAAGATGCTAAAAATAAGTTTTAAAAATAAAAGGAGTTCTATTCTATAGCTCTTCAAAATTTTGAAATTGGTAAAATGAATTAAAATGGAGATTTTAAAAATCATAACAAACTCCATGCCTAAAGAAAATATAAATTTTGAAAAATGTATCATGTATCATTGAATGCATGCAATATACATTATAAAATATATTTTTTAAAACTAGAATTATAAAATATATAAAATATCCTTTCAAACACAAGTCTATGTCGTCCTTTTGAAGAAACACTTGCACGTCATTTGTATGGTCTTTGTGGGGAAAATGTTATCTAACCACTTAGATACATCTTTTGATGGTTGAAGTGGTTTGCGACTTCTAGTGGGAAAAAAGATACCTACCCGCTAGTTGTACAGTTTCCACATGTTTTTCAATTTGGATGACTTGATCGGAAATCTTTTGAAAAAATATACCTAAGCCTGAGGCATGTATGGGATCAAACATGCCAATTAACAAAAGTTGTTAAGGACTCGTACATGTAGAAATTACATTTGGTGTAATTGGCAAACATTACATGTCGTTGAATTAAATAGCAAGAAAAAGGTTAGCTAACCGTTATATTTTTTGCAACGTTGGATCTTAGAGTTTAATCAATTAATAATTAAGAAATATAATGGGTATTAATTACCAAAGGCTTAAATATCGAAAATACTAAGTGAACTTTGTAGATGTCCCAAATTGCAAACCATCCTAAAAATTACCTTTGATCTCTCCTTGAGAAGGAGAAAATAAATCATACGAATTTCCTCTACTAGCACAGAAACTTGAGAATTGTACTAATGACAGAGAATAAATCGTATGTGCTTGATAATCCTATTCCCGATGAGCCTATTCCTACCCATCGAGTAACTTACAATGCATGGTTGAATCATGTAGATGATTCAATCAAAGTTTCTAGTTTTATGTTGGTTACCAAAGATACCGGACCTTCAAAAGGATATGGAGCATCATACATCATATGCCATCATCACCCAATTGAAGGAAATATTCCAACAACAAGCAATGACATAACGATCTGAAACTATTCCAGAGTTACATGGGTGTAAGATGGAAGAGGGGAAAAATGTGAGCTCGCATGTGCTCAAGATGTAGAGTCATATTGATCATCTGGAGAGACTTGGTTCTCCTAAAACAAGTGAGGTATCTAAAGATTTGATCCTTAACTACATTTCCAAAATCATATGACACCTTCATTATGAATTACAAAATGAATGGATGGGAAAAACCTATCTCAGAGTTACATATGATGTTAAATATTGTTGAGAAGAACATTCCTCGATAAGCTACCCGTGTGTTCGTCATCAGGGAAGGAGGAACCAAGAAACCCAAGCATAAGAACTCCAAGGTTAAGTGAAAAGAGGTTACCAAATCCCTATAACCATAGAAAAAGGACAAGGTGGCCAAAGAAGACACATATTTTTAGTGTTACCTCATTAGTCATTGGAATAGGAGATGTTCTACTTACATGGAGGAGTTGAAGAAGAAGAAGGTTGAGGAAGGCACTTCAGGTATCTATGTGATAGAAATAGATCTATTTACTTTGTCATCTAATACTTGGGTATTTGATACCAAGTGTGGAACTTATATTTGCAGTTCAAGCTTTAGGAGATTACGATTTACATTTACCTAATGGCTTGTGTTTTACTTTAAACATTGTTTGTTTTCTACTCAATCTAACAAGGAATATTATTTCAGTTGTTCATTTGAAACAAGTTGGTTTTACTTATCATTTTAATGATGGTTTTATTCATGCTTATAAGAATGATGCATTTTATTATGAGGCTAGAACTCTTAATGGAATATATGAAGTAAACCTAGATAGTTCATTAAACAATAGTTTTATATATCATGCCAACAATAAAAGACTCAAATATGATTTGAGTGACTCTTATTTATAACATTGTCGTATTGAATATATAAACAAAAAACACATATTCCAACTTCAAAAGAACAATATTTTGAAGGTAAATCTCATTTCTTTGGTTTAAGTGAAAGAAAAAAAGGATCTTCAAGGAATCATACATACTGATGTATGTTGTCCTTTCAAAACCATTTCTAGAAATGGTGATAGATACTTCATCACCTTCACTGACGACTTGATTCGTTATGTTTATTTTCATTTAATGAAACATAAACATGAAGCATTTGAAATGTTCAAATTGTTTCAAAGTGAAGTTGAAAATCAACTCAATAGTACCATCAAAATCCTTCTTTTTCATAGAGGGGGAGGGTACCTAAGCGATGAATTCTTAAGTCATTTAGAGAGTCATGGGATTTTTTTCACAACTCACTCTATCTAGACGCCAGAACATAATGGTGTTTGAAAGAGCTGGAATCAGACCTTGTTAGATATGGTTTGATCTATGATGAGTAGAAGTATGCTTCCTATATGTTGAATTTGGATCCAACCAATAAAGTAGATAAAACACTTTATGAGATTTGGCATGGAAATGTTCCGTTATTATCGTATTTAAGGGTATAGGGATGTTAAGCTTATGCAAGACAAGAAACTTATAAGATCCAAACGAGAATAAGATATTTATCTCTTGGAAAGCTGAATTCTTAAAATGCAAGTTTCAAATGGATGAGGCTAGTGGGATGCATATGGAACTTGAATAAGAACCACAACCCGATGCATCATGAACTGAACGAAACACAAACTGTTCGCATATCTAGTAGAGTTCGTCAAGAACCAGAGATATGGATTTTTAATCGATGAGTGTTTCACATGGATTCCTATGAACCCATCAATTACCAAAGTGTTGTGTCAAATTCAAAATAAAAAAAATATGGCTTGAAGCCATGAACATTAAGATGCAATCCTTGTATGAAATCAAGTATGGGACTTGGTTGATCTTCCTCCTAACATTAAGACCATTAAAAGTAAGTGTGTTTTCAAGAAGACAACTGACATGGATGGAAATTTGCACACATATAAATCTAGACTTGTGGGAAAAGGTTTTACTCAAACTCATGGTATCGACTATGATGAAACCTTCTCTTATGTGGCTATGATAAACTATATCAAGATACTATTAGCCATAGTTACATATTATGACTATGAGATATGGTAAATGGATGCTAAGACAAATTTTCTTAATGGTCACTTATATGGAGATATCTATATGACTCAGCCTAAAGGTTCTGTCGATCCAAAGTATCTAATAAAGTTTGTAAGCTTAAAAAATCCATTTTTCGGATTAAAGCAAACATCTCGATTCTTGAATATTCTCTTTAGTGTAAAATTAAAGAGTTTGGTTTTATTCGAAATGAATATGAACCGTGTGTTTACAACATAGCTAGTGGGAGCATTTTTCACATTCATGGTTTTTTAAGTGGATAACATACTACTATTTGGAAATGACATTCCTTCTTTGAAAGGGGTTAAATCTTGGCTTGAGAAACGTTTCTCAATGAAAGATTTGGGTGAAGCCTCATATATTCTTGGTATAAAGATAAATAAAATATAGATCAAGAAGACTTATATGTTTAAGTCAAAGTGCATACGTTGAAAAGGTTCAAGATGCAAGATTCTAAGAGAGGATTCTTGTCAATGCCATATGGAACCATATTGAGCTCGTCTTAATGCCCCAACACATAGGTTGAGCTAGAGAGAATGAATGGTATTCCATATGCTTTTGCAAATTAGATCCATCATGTATGTCATGTTATCTAGAAGACCTGATGTATCATATGCTTTGAGCATGATAAGTATATACCAACAAAATCTGGGAGAAGGTCATTGGATTGTTGTAAAGAACATTATGAAATAATTACAAATAACTAATTTTTTTCTTATCGTTGAAGGTTTGGATGAAGATATTAGTGTAAAATGTTACACTAATGCTATCTTCAAAACATATACAGATGATTCTAAATTATAATCTAGATTTGTCTTCATTATGAATGGAGGCGTGGTTTCTTGGAAGAGTTCAAAGCAAAGTGT